GTGATTTTCTACTCTAAACCAATCTGTGAGTGCCAACATCACCAAGAACATGGAGGTGAGGAAGAAGAAAGAGGGAGGACAGGGCAGGCCCAAATCCCAAATCCATCTTAAAACCTCTGACCCCCATGTACAAAGTAAAAACCCCCCTGGACAGGTGCTAAAACCCCCCTGTACTACACTAAAAAGTTCTTCCCTCTACTTTGTAACTACTTCTACTCTAATATCTAAACTTCTGTGATTCTTGTTCTTCCTGCAAGGTTGGTAAATCATTCCATGGCTCAAACCCAAAATCACAGCTGTTTCCAGCTGCCTGCCAGGGTCTCAAATGCTTCTGACCTGGGCCTGGAACCTCCAAAAATGTCTGAGGGACATTTTGAGCTCCGACAGGCAGGCAGGGAGAGTCTTGTGCCTGAGTTCTCTCCTCCCACGGTGCATCCCTGCTCCCTTTGTCTCTGCAGGAGCCCTTGAGAACCCTGTGCACCCTGTGCACCCTGTGCACCCTCTGCACCCTCTGCACCCTCTGCACCCTCTGCACCCTCTGCACCCTCTGCACCCTCTGCACCCTCTGCAGCCTCTGCGTGCTCCTGCTGCAGTGGCCACTGGTTTATTCCCCAAACTCCCCACGGCCCGAGCAATCCAAGCCTCCCTGGAGGTGCTGGCCCTGCCTTGCTGCTGGTGTTTGCTCTCCTGCTTGGGATGGGGCTGGATTTTGGGGACTCTGTGTCCTGGCAGCCCATCCCGCGCTGCTCCCTGCGATTTCCAGGCTGGCAGGAGCTGGATGCTCGCTGCTCTTCCTCTCGCTCACTAGATGGCACAACGCTGGAGCTCCTGAAGGCTTTCTGGCTCTTTTCCCTGCATTTGGCACTCTTTGGCATCCCTTCCACCAGATCCCTGCTTCTCCTCGGGGTTTCAGTGCTTTTTCAGCCTTGTCCTCAGGAGTTTCCCCATTTGAGGGCTCAGCATCCCCTGTGTGGGCTCTGCTCTCCCTGGGCAGGATGGGCGCTGCCTGCTGCCAGCCAGCCTGGCTGTCGTGGGTGGCACCTAAACCCTGCATTCAGGGGTCACAGCAGTGGAAAATCATTCCTGGTGACAGCTGAGAATCAGAGAGATCAGGTCAAATGGGAAATCTCTGCTGGGCTGGGCTTCAGCTGCAGGGATGTCCTCTGTGGGGGTAGGAGCATCATTTTAGACTGATTTTTGTGAGGTGCCTCAGGGAGGATAAATGCATTTGTTCTGTACACAGGGAGGAGCTGGACATTCAGTCACCTGGCACCATCTCCCAGTGTCGGAATCTGAGGTATTGATGATTCTGAGATTGTAAAAGTCTCTGTCTGTCAACCCCGCTGCCAAAGCAGAAGCCATAATTGGTCTGTGCTGGTTTCCAGGTTGTTTATTCTGTTTATCTCTCACATGTTCTGCTGCCCTGCCCAGCTCTGTCCTGCAGGGCAGCGTGTGGGGCTCTGCCCTCAGTGGGATGTGACAAACATTAAATACCAGAAACTCCCTGGGCTGCATTTACAAGAACGTGCCAATATCTGTCACCTCCGTTGGACAGTGTGTCCCCAGCCTGAACCAACAGAAAAATGCCAACACCACAGTGAGACATGGAGGGCATGAAGGAGGAGAAAAAGGACAAGGCACTCCCAATTTCCTCCATCTTGTCCCCTTTGGACCCCTCATCTAGAATCCTAAAACTTTACTTTTGCACCCGTGCCACATTTAATTATTACTGATATCAAACACTCAGAGTTGGTAATTCACCCTGCAATATTGAAAACTCTTCTTCATGGCCAGAGATCACAGCCAGTGTCTCTGGGGGCTCTGTCCAGGGGGGTTCCTGACCCCTGCCAGGGTCCCAGGGCAGCCAGAGGGAAGCCCTGGACTCCCACATCCCAGTTCTGAAATGGAAAATTCAGCAGCAGCAGCAGCAGAATCTCTCCGTGCCAGCGTGGCTGCAGTCAGGGTTCCCTCTGCAGCCAGGGCTGATGGTGGGGCACTGCTTTCTCATTCCACTCCCTCCCTGACGCCAGGCAGACCTCAGGGGCTGCCCAGCTGTGCCCAAACAGCTGGAGTCCTCCTACAGCTGTGCAGAAACCCATTTGTCCATCCGAGCTGAGGGATGGTTCCCCAGAAGTCGTTTGCCCTCTTGTTTTCAATTGCTCGGCTGCTCCTGACAGACACAAGGGAGAGTGCACAAGCCTGGCTCTTGTGTGGGTCGTGACCTCTCCTGTGTAGTTATTTTATCACGGTTATTTTATTTTATTTGGCTTCACAAAGATTCAGCCTCTGGTTAGGGCAGCAGGGGATGAATATTTATGTTAAACTCCCCTCAGCTGCACCTGCACCACCCAACATTTTTGTGGGATGTGCTGCTGCCACGTCTCTGCTGCCCTGCAGCAGCATCCCCAGAGGCGTGGGCCGAGCAGAGGCCACTCAAAAAACTCTCATTTGGCTGCCTTGCAAATCCCTGACAGATCCCTTGATAAATGACCAGGGCACACAGAGCCCAAGGCAGGCTCTGCCTCTCCACTGCCACTTCCCAGCCTCCCTCCCTGGGGAGGTGATCTGGTCAGCATGCACAGCCACTCTGCACTCCTCTCAACAGCCCTCATAAGACTCATTAATTAAGCACAGGAGCCATTTTGCAGCCTGAGCTGAGGTTCTCTCCAGGCCCTGCTGGTTCCTGGGTGCTCAGTAGCTGCGAGGCTGCAGCCAGTGCCTGGAGCTGCCAGGGCCCAGCAGGGATGGAATCCCTTCAGCAGGGCAGGGGAGAAGACAATGCTGCTGCTTAAATGCATCTCTACCTTAATTCTTCTTTTCTGCATGTGAAACCCAGAAATAGTTTCATCCCTCTCTCAATCAGCTTTCTCCACTGCTCCACATCTCAGTGTACACTCCCACTCTTACCAGCTGCTCTGGGTGTTTCCCTCACCATCCTCGGGAGGATTTGTGCATCTTTCAGGGCTTTTAAACTGGTACAAGTCCCTCTGCTCCAGCCTGGACACTCCACACAACACCAGGAGCTGCAGTTGCAGATGTTGGTGCTGTCCCAGGCTCTTCATGAGCCCCAGCATCCCACGTGAATGTCACAAAGAGAAAAGGAAGGGAGGATTCCACAGCTCATCTCCACATCCTCCTGCCTTCAAAGCACATCTGACAGAACAGTGGGGACTGGGGCAGGAGTGGGGTGATGTGCAATAACCCAGCGCTGTGTCTGCACCCCAGCAGCACCAGGGAGGCACCAGGGCCCTGATGTCCCCCTCAGACAGCCCAGCAACCCTTCTGCAGCCACCTCCGCAGGGACACTGTGCTCTGGGGCTTTGCTGAGGGAGAGGAGGATGAAGACGAGCCCCTGGGGAGGGGCAATAAAGCACTGGCAAATTGCCTGCACCTCCATTAATTCTCTGGGGTGGCTGTAGCGAAGTTAATAGCATTAAAAAGAGCCACATTTAAGGAGCCGCTAAGGAGTGAGATGAGTTGTTTATGATTAAATTAAATTCATATGAAAACTAATGACCTGCCAGTGTAAGCCTTGAGTAACTTTATAATGTAATTAAAAGCCCAACGGGGGAGAGAGCTGTGGTTATGCCACATGTTGAGGAGCTGCTGGGAACACGGAGGCCTCGGGTAAGGGCTGATGCTGAGAAGTGCCTGGGCACTGCCCTGGCTCCTCTGCTGGCACAGACAGGGGCTGCCAGCAGGAGAGGTGGGTGCAGTGGGTCAGCTCCTGGCTGCAGGGAGAGAATCATGGGCTGGTTTGGGCTGGAAGAGAACTTAAAGATCAACCCCTCCAAGGGCAGGGACACCTTCCACTATCCCAGGTTGCTCCAAGCCCTGTTCAGCCTGGCCTTGGACACTGCCAGGGCTGGAACTTCCCTGGATTTGCGTCGGGCCTCACCACGCTCAGGGTAAAGAATTCCTCCCTGATTCCTAATCTTAACCAGCTCTCACTTTGGAGCCATTCCCCTGCTCCTGTCACTACACGCCCTTCCCTGCAGCCTCTCCACGCAGGTATGCGGCTCGTCCCGGGCAAGTCAGCTCCGCCGGGCTAGCCGGGACAGACCTTTACTTCCCCGCTCACTTCCTCCTCCTCCTCCTCCATCCTCCCAGGGCTGTGCCGGCCAACCCGCGGGCGCTGCCGCGATGGGACAGGAGCAGAACGCGGCGGGCACGGAGCGCAGCAGAGGCGAGGGGAGCAGCGCAGGTGAGAGGCGCAGCGCAGGTGAGAGGCTCAGCGCAGGTGAGAGGCGCAGCGCAGGTGAGAGGCGCAGCGCAGGTGAGAGGCTCAGCGCAGGAAAGGGGCGAGGGGCGCAGCGCAGGCGAGGGGCGAGGAGAGCAGCGTAGGAAAGGGGCGAGGGGCGCAGCGCAGGAAAGGGGCGAGGAGAGCAGCGCAGGTGAGGAGCGCAGCGCAGGTGAGGAGCGCAGCGCAGGCAAGGAGCGAGGGGCACAGCGCAGGAAAGGGGCGAAGAGAGCAGCGCAGGTGAGAGGCTCAGCGCAGGAAAGGGGCGAGGGGCGCAGCGCAGGCGAGGGGCGCAGAGCGGGACCCCTCCCGGGCCGGACACCGCGCCCTGCGGAGCATCCCCCGCCGCACGCCGGGCTCGGGCACCGAGCGGCCGCACCGGGGGAGGCCGGGGCCGGCCGGCCCTTTAAGCGGGCGGCGGTGGGGCCGCCCCGCCGGCCGGGATAGGCCGGGCCGGGCCGGGGCCGCCTCCCGCCCCCGGAGCGGGCGGCGCGGGGAGGCTCGGCCGCGCTGCAGCCTCCGGTCCCGGCGGCCAGCGCCAGAGCGTCCCCGCTCCCCGAGGGGCACGGCAGCGGCGATGCCCAGGCGGAGCATCGCCGAGGTGAAGGTGCTGGACGTGCAGAAGCGGCGCATCCCCAACAAGCACTATGTGAGTGCCCCCAGCCCGGCCCTGCGCGAACAAAGGCCGGGCGCTGCCGGCCCCGCTCCCGCGCGGAGCTCCGGGAAGGGAGGACGGAGGAGGAGGAGAAAGAGGGCGGCAGCGCTGCCGGGAGTGCCTCTCACGGGTATCCCGAGGGGGTGCCCCCTGGCAGCGTGGGGATGCCCCGCCGCTGCCCCCGGGATGCCCGGGGGATGCGGGCGGGGGTTGCGCGCACCGCGGGCACCGCAGATCCCCGCTCCTGCAGCTTGGCGCCGGGGCCGTGGGACCTGTTGGTCGCAGAGTCCTGGGGCGAAGGGACCCCCAGGCTCCTGCTTTCTGCTCCCCGGATAGTGCTCAGTCCCCGAGAAGGATCCCTCGTGTCCCCTGCATCCTGCCCAGCCTTCCTGCGTGCTCCGGGGCATCTTTCAAACTGTTCTGGGTTTGTCTGTTTCTAAAAGTGCTTTTATTTTTTTCCCCCCTCTTTTTAATTTTTTTTTTTTTTTTAATGATTTAAACTTTGGTGTGTTTCCAGGCTCCCGTGGCGAGCTTGTGGGTGAATCCTGGCAACAGCCGTAAAACAAAGACCGAAATGTTCTTCCCTCCCGTTCTGCCGTAGCCCAGGGTGACCCAGTGACACACTGTTCGTGGCACATTTGGGCCGTGCAGATGTGCTGTTTGCTCTGGCTGGAGGCAGCTGTCAGCAGAGCCAAGCTTTCAGAGCTCTTGGGAGATCAAGGGCTTCTCCAGGTCCCCTCGGCTGCTTTGTGGCATTGAGCAACAACTGGAGGGAAGCTGAGGGCAGCCAGCTCCAGAGGAGGCGAGGGCAGAGGCGTCTCCCCTGGCATCAGGGATGTGGCGTGGCCGCTGCCACCCACGCCCTTACCGCCCCTTCTTCCTGCTGCCCTGCCTGGAGCTGGAGCAGCCCCGGCCGGCTCCAGATGTGGGATTTTCCTGCCGTGTCCATCCTCGCTCATCGCGCCGGTGCCGTGCCCCGCTCCGGAGCAGCGCGGACGCGCGGAGCTCTGCGCGCTGCTGTTTGTCGTGGCGGATTCGGGGCTTCGCCGCCGGGTGCCATCCCCGGCATGGGCTGGGTGGGCTGTGCCAGCTCCTGTGCCGTCCCCTCGGTCCCTGCCGTGTCCCTCGGGCGCCGCGTCCCCGCCGCAGGGATGCGCAGCGCGCAGCGCGGTCCCCGCTGGCCGCGGAGAGTCGGGCGGAGTTGGGCACAGCACAAATAATCCCTGCGAGGCTGCGAAACCGGGCGGGCGATGTTTGCTGCCGGGAGAGCTGCCTGGAGGCGCGGTGGGTGGGACGCGGAGCTCCGGGAGCTCCGGGAGCGGCGTGCTCGCTCCGTGGCTGCCGTGCAGCCCCTTCGGCCTCCGCGGGCGATGCCTCTGCTCCAGCCCTTCCCCGACTTGCGGCGGAATCCAGCGGCGGAGCCAGCGTGGCTCGCAGAGAGCCCGGGGAGGGGCCGGAGCTTGCGGGCAGCTGCCTCCCCCGAGCAGCGCTGGAGTGAATGGGAGCGCTCGCCTTGCTGGAGCAATCAATAGAACCGGGCGGATTCACAAAGCCGGTTAATTATATGAAACCAAACCTTTTTTTTTTTTTTTTTTTTTTTCCCCTTTTTCCTCTTGCAAAGAGAAGGGAGAGGCAGCAAATCATGGCTGAGTCATTTGTAGACAGTGGCTGCTGGCACAGCGCGAATCCCAGGCGACCACGAAGTGTCCGTGTCGAAGCTTTGCCCTCCGCCTCTCCCCTGGCACAGATGTGCCCTGCCCAGCCCTGGGGCAGCTCTCCTGGCCCGGGGGAGGCTGCAGGACCACGCTGCCTTCCCCTCCTGTTGCCTCTGTGATGACCTGCCCTGCTCAGGCTCCTCTGCATCAGCCAGAGGTTTCTCTTTGCTGGACAAAGCTGTGATTGTGTTGCTCACGATGAGGCCACAGCACAAAGTTACCAATTCCTCTTGCCCAGAAAAGTGAGATCGAGCCAGTGCTTCAAAGCCCTTGTTGCACCTGCAGTGGGGAGGGCTGGCTCTGGCCAGGCTGCTGTGGTTTGTTTTTCACCTGGGTAATTGATACAACGAGAATTGTGTTGCCTGAGACAAAAAGTTGGTTGTTTTGCAGCTCTGCTGCGAAGCACGAGGCACAATATTTGCCCAAACTGCAGGGCAAGGTGCTGGGCAGGATTTGGGTAGCTGGTTAAAGGTGCTGAGCTGAGTGTCAGGGATCAGTGGGGACCCTCTGCCCTCAAACTCCACTTGGGTTTTTAAGCTTTTTTGTCATGAGCATTACCTGGCAGGGGCATTGAGGAATGATCCTTGTGCAGGTGTTTGTTGCAGGATGCTCTGGCTCGTGGCAGCCCATTTTCCAAGTGAATAAAAAGGGACTCCATCCTCCAGGCAGTGGCTGAGGTGACATTTCCAGTATTTTTCACTTTCAGTACCATTTCCCACACGGTGCAGTGTGAATGATCCCAGCTCAGGGATGCTGCCAGCGAGGGCTCTGGGGCAATCCTGCAAATCTGAGCAGGCAAAGTCCACGAGTAAAATTTAAAAATAATCATTGTGAGAGACAGAAGAGCAGACTGTCATTTCTCTGGTCTGGCCAAGTCTCTGATAAATGAATGTTTATTCAGAAAAGACCCAAAACAAAGCCATAGTAGAAACAGACTGGATTTTCCTTTAAAGGACTTCACACGGGACCTTTTTATAGTATTATGTTTGTTATTCTCGAGTAGAAGCCCTAAAATAAAGCTTTTTCCTACTAAATCCGGATTTGGTTTTCTTTCCCTTGGGCAAGCTTCAGGATGTTTCATTTTGTTACAGCTGCATACACAAAATGTGTGTGTTTTCTATGTGTTAATAGCAATGCCATTGAGTCCCATCTCCATTTCTGCCTACCAGGAACATTTCCGTAGTTATATGGGTTTAAACAGTTGTTCTGGAGCACCATCCAAAATTATATCTATCCATTCAACAGCATGCTGTTTGGGTGGGGTAGATTTTTGGAAAATCTGGATTGTGTTCTCACAGGACTTCCATTCCCAGCCTCCATGAATATGGGAAATTTCAACAAAGTGTGCAGCATACATTTATTTTGCAAACGCAGTGAGCAAGGTGGCAAAGCTTGAAACAAGATGAAGACCTCATTAGTGGCAGCTGGGTTGTGAAAGTAATTAACAGATTCCTGGTGGAATCTGGCTAACGGGATCTACAGGCGTTTCAAATCAGATGTGAGGAGAACCACGGTGAAAAAGCGAGGGTGTTGTTATATTTTTGATGTGGAATTTGTGATGTGGTGGTGTAGGTGTCTTCTCTGCTCCTCGTGGTGGCGAGGCCATTTGTGGTTTCATTCCTCCTGTAGCCCAGCCCCAGTGTGCTTATCTGGAACTGATTAGGGAGTGTTTGAATGGACAGAGCTGCCAACCCAGACCTTCCCTGGTTCTTCAGTGCTTTACATTTACAAGCTGAAGGTATTTCTGAGGAGCACGAGCTGAAGGTATTTCTGAGGAGCACGTGCCCCATGGGCTGTGTGTTGTGCTCCCAGCTCGGTGCCCCCTGGCACAGTGTCCCCTTGTAGAGCTGAGCTATTCCCGTGGATTTTGGGAGTTCTTTCTGCCCTCGGGGATCACTCTGGTTGTTTGGCTTCAGAGGGGTGTCAGGGGATGACTTCTCCCCGTGCTGTCTCCCTGGAAGGGTGACCGTGCCCTCGGAATGGTGGGAACGTCCTGTGGGCAGCCGGAGGAGCTGGGTGAGGAAGGAGGAGGTTGGCATGAGTAATGTGAGATCTGTGCAGTGCAGTGTCCCCAGATAACCAAACCAGGAGTGAGACAGAGCCAGGGGAAGCTGCAGTCTGACTCCTCTAAAGGTTTGAGGGCTTTCTCAGCATCCTCCGTGCTGTTTTGCTGCTGCATCCTGTGGTTGTGCTGTGTCTCATCCCATTTCCTGCCAGCTGGATGATGCTGTCCCAGCGAGGCAAGCCACAGGCAGGGAGTTTGGTGGGAATTTTGTCCCATCCTTGTGCTCTGCAGAGCTTTCCTGCTCACCCCTCAGCAGAGCTGAGCATGGAGCACCCTTCGCTTTGTGGATGAAAACCAGCCCTCAGACTCAATCTCCCCTTTGTTCTTCTTCCCCAGCCGTGCTTCTCAAAGCTGCTGAAAAGCTTGGACGTGGAAGGATCCAATCCTTGGCTGCTGGGGCAGGAGCAGCTCCGTGGGGAAGCTGATGCTCAGGCTCCATTCCAGCAGTGAGCTGCAGCTCTGGGGCCATCCCTGGCCCCTGCCTGCCCCCAGCTCTCTGACCTCCATCCCCCAGAGCTTTGCTTTGGAGGGTGTCTCTGTCCTGTGGCACTGGGAGACAGGAGACAGCAGAGCCCACACGTGTGACCTTCAGTGGGACTGGAGCAGGGGTGCGTGTGTGCGTGCCTGGGGGCTCTGAGCAGGCTTTGCTGGGCTGTCCTCGGGGGTGCCAGCCTTGTGGGTGTGCCCCTGCCACGCCAGCAGTGCTGGGGCTGTGCTGTGCCCTGCCAGGCTGCACAGCAGCGTGGGGGGAAGAGGGTGAGCACCAGAAACTGGGAGGGATGGGCTGGGGCGAGGGGAGGTGGCTGCTCTGCAGGGCTGGCTGTGTGCTCAGCCTGCCTGGGCTGGGGCTGAGCTGCTGCCTGCCCTGCTGCTTCCTCCATCCCTGTGCCCACCTCCCTGCAGCTCTGCCTTGCTGCTTCTGCCTCCCCCCTGCCAGAGAGCCCAGGGCAGCATCGCTGGTGCCCTGCAGCTGGGATAGCTTCTGCAAGCCAGCCTCACCCTCCTCCCGGCTCCCCAGCCACCAAGCAGGGGTGAGGGGGGTCACAAGCTGTCTGCCCACGGGGCTGGGGCTTGGCTCTCCCCCTCCTGCTCCAAGCTTTGGCATCCCATGGCACAGAGCCCCCATCTCCCCTCCCCAGCCCGCAGGCTGCGGCAGCGAGGGCTGGTGGAGAGGGGCCAAGCACAGCAGCTTGGTGCCAAGAACTTTCTTTGTT